ATTTTTCTAAAACTTCTAGGATCTTCAGAGACAAGTGTTGTCTAAGTACGCTAAAAATTGCAAATTACTACTCGCTTTAGTTTGCAAGATGCGAATTTTTAAAGAAGAGCGCGCAGTTGACGAAAAACACCTATTTTGAGACCGGTATTAACCAAGCTAGAAAAAATCAGGATTTGGTGCCATTTTTCTGAAACTTCTAGGATCTTCAGGGGCAAGTGTCTTCTAAATATGATAAAAGTTTCAAATTTCTGCTCGCTTTAGTTTGAGCGTTATGCATTTTTAAAGGAGTGGAAGCAGTTGAGTAAAAACATACATGTTTGAAACTGGTATTTACCAACCTGAAAAAAAACCAGGATTCTAGATGATTTTCATGAAACTTTCGAAATGTTTAAGTTCAAGTGCCGTTTAAAGATGGTGATGGTAAAATTTTCAGAGTTCTTCTGGCATTAATTTGAAAGATACGAATTTCCAAAAAGGTGAATAAAACATACATTTTGAGGCTGGTATTTACCAAGCTGACAAAAATCAGTGTTCCGGGTGATTTTTCGAAAACTTTCAGGATTGTTAGAGCGAAGCGTCTTTTAAAGATGGAAAAAATTTGAAATTTCCAGCGGTTTTAGTTTGGATGATCCGAATTTTGAAGGGAAAGGTCACAGTTGCGTTATAACATCCATTTTAAGCGTGGTAAATATCAAGCTGGTAAAAATCAGCATTAAGGGCGATTTTTATGAAACTTCCCCACTCATTAGAGCCACATTTGCTTCAAAGATTGTGGAAATTTGAAAGTGCTGCTTGCATTAGTTTGGAAGATACGAATTTTTTAAGGGAAGAACCTCAAAAAAAACGTTTGAAGAGCATTTTGTGCAGCTTCAACAGTCACAATCACTTTCTGTCTCTACATCACAATAATTTAAATATAAAATTCTATTGAGCACGTAATTGGCGTGGCAAAGGTTTTGAAACGCGCAAAATGGAAAGATTTTAGATCAACTTTATGCACCTCAAAAGGCTGCAAAGTTTGAATTGATCATTGAAATCAAATGCCTCCAAGGCTGCGAGCGACTTTGCCAGGCCTTAAACTCACTGGGAAAATGATGAAATCAAACCAACTTATCGAGGTTTAAAAGGCACTTTGCGAAGCTCATCTGCATTTGAGGGTGGTGCAAAGTTTTCAACTTACCTTTTAACGGCAACTTAAACTTGCGCAATTCACTGCATCAGACACTTTTACACCACACTTTTCAAAACGCAAAAACACACGCGGCCAATCACTTACGCTCTCTTGAATTTTGAGAATTTTCGACTCAATTATGTCCGAATCGGAGGAATAAACGGTGGGCGGTGCCTGGCAATTATCAGCTCCTCCCACATCCTTAGGGATAATCATGTTGAGCGAATGGCAAACGAGTTCCGGGCTAATTCGGGAATTAAGGGCAATTAAGTCTGGATTTAGAACAACAATTTGTCCCTGTCGGAGAATGGATGGTTCTTGTCGCACTTGCGTCCAGATTTATTGTTCCGTTCGATTAACCCACAATCTCTTCATTTGATTTCTTCACACTAACGGCCGATTTGCACGTTCGAAGTAGGCTGGATGGCTTCTGCAGAAAAGCGCTAGTGTCCACACTGGACGATCGTCCAGATCGGTAAGATGCATTGTGCTTTGAGGGACTGTAAGTGTCCGATCTGGGCGGACGTTCCAAGTAGTGGCCAGAGATGCCGATCTCGCTCCTTATCCAGGGGTCTTCACCGACCCTAAAAATCCCCTGAGTGAGTTTGGCAAATTTTCTGTGGCACATTTTGGGCCTTGCCACATGAGGAAATTCGGGATTTCTCTTTGGCTGTAGTGTCTCAGATACAAGATGAGGCATGGCAGCAGAGAAACGGTCAAAACCAGCAGGAAAACACAGCAGTGGCAGATTAGGGTGTTGTAATACACCTCTGGGCCTATGGAGCGTTTCTGGGAAATTTCCTGCGGGTTAATGCGGTGCACAAGAGAAACTCCTGCAGATTCTACCTGAATAGCAGCGTCCAGGTATTTGACGCCTAATTTACACAGGCTGAGGAAAATGAACCAAACGCGCGATATGTAGAACAAGAGCCAATGGAAAATTACGTCCTGCAGCAAATTAAACCGGTAAGCGCTCCATCCACTCCTGCCGAGAAACTTACCCAACAAATTTTCGTCTTCCATCCGTAAAGCGCATTCGAAGTGCAACGGAACTGCACATAAAGCAGCGCAAATAACGGCCCCAAGAAGAGCACGGTGGGCACAATTGAGGAAAAACTATCAGGAAACAACTTGGAGGCTTCAACCAGAGCGATGATGAATTTTGAGTGAAGTCGCCCAATGGAATCCATCGATTGTACAAATAACTGGAAATTTTCCTTGTTTTGGGCACGATTTCAAATGTTAACTGATTGAAATGTTGTCAGTGTCAGTTTCCGCAACAAGTTACTCAGTGAAAATGGATTCGCTTCAGACGTTTCGCACGCCCGAGCGGGTGCCGTCCTCAGAGGTGTTTCGCTCGAAATCGTTTCAGCTTTGCCTCAAATGCCTTTTCGTCGTTTCCATCTTCGAGAAGCGCGAAATGTTCCAATCTCTTCGAACACACTTAGAAAATTTCTTGCCATTTTAAACGGGTTTTGACCAGTCACGGCTTTTAACCGACAAAGTATTTTTTGAAACTTATGGGTTTTTTGGCCGTCGTTCGGTAGAATTTCTTATTGACGTTTCGCAAGCACGAGTGGCTTGTATCTTCAGAAGTGGTTTGCTTGAACGCAGCGTAAGCGTCAAAGTGGATGTTTTTAATCAACTGCACGCACTCCTTTAAAATTTCATATCGCTCAAACGTAAGCGAGTATCAATTTGAAATTTTTAGCATATTTACAAGACACTCGTCTCTGAAGATGCTAGAAGTTTCAGAAAAATCGCACTAAACCCTGATTTTTGCTAGCTTGCTTAATACCGGCTTCAAAATGGCTGTTTTTCCTCAACTGTGCCTTCTCCTTTAAAAATTCGTATCTTTCGAACTAAAGCCAGTAGCAACTTGAAATATTCAATACCTTTAAACGAGACTTCAATCTAAGGATCCTGGATAGTCTATAAAAATCGTTGAGATTTCTAATTTTTTCGAGCCTGGTTAATACCAGTCTCAAAGTGGATGTTTTTACTCAACTGCACTCACCCCTTTAAAAATTCGTATCGCTCGAACTAAAGCGAGTAGCAATTTGCAATTTTTTGCATATTTAGAAAACACTTGTCTCTGAAAATGCTAGAAGTTTCAGAAAAATCGCACTAAACCCTGATTTTTGCTAGCTTGCTTATTACCGGTTTCAAAATGGCTGTTTTTCCTCAATTGCGCCTTCTCCTTTAAAAATTCGTATCTTTCGAACTAAAGCCAGTAGCAACTTGAAATATTCAATATCGTTAAACGACACTTCAATCTAAGGATCCTGTATAGTCTATAAAAACCGTTCAGATTTCTATTTTTTTCGAGCCTGGTTAATACCAGTCTCAAAGTGGATGTTTTTACTCAACTGCACTCACTCCTTTAAAAATTCGTATCGCTCAAACTAAAGCGAGTAGCAATTTGCAATTTTTTTGCTTATTTAGAAAACACTTGTCTCCGAAAATGCTAGAAGTTTCAGAAAAATCGCACTAAACCCTGATTTTTGCTAGCTTGGTTAATACCGGTCTCAAAATGGATGTTTTTCGTCAACTGCGCGCTCTTCTTTAAAAATTCGCATATTGCAAACTAAAGCGAATAGTAATTTGCAATTTTTAGCATATTTAGACAACACTTGTCTCTGAAGATCCTAGAAGTTTTAGAAAAATCGCA